ACATGACTGGTTTGTTTTCATCTGTAGTTTGAGTTGGGCTTTGAAGCTGATCAGTGTAGGGCTATAAAGGACTATAAAGTGCAGTATTTTTTTTGTATTATTCTGTCATTTATTCTGTTATTTTTATACACTTTTTAAAGTCCACATTTGTTTGACCACTTTTGCTATAATCTCTGTTCCTTTAACAATACAATTTCCCGATTATGGGACAATAAAGGGATTTTCTATTTTATTCTATTCTATTATATATACACAATGAATTTTAAAATGTGCTTTCTTTACCATAAGACCAGGAGAAGAACTAAATAACATTCAGAAGTTTATACGTAGGTTTGTATAATCTCATCTGTGCCTTGACATGATTGTGTCACACACATACTTAGAGTATTCAGAGAATTCTGATCAAATGAAAATTAAATTAAGCGTGTTACATTTCCTGCTTTTGTACTTACCTTAAAACATCATAGACCTGTCAACAGAACCTTAGAGTGGAGAGGTTATGGCCAGAGGTGAACAATCGGGTGAACTATCCACTTAACGAGCTCTGGTGCACCTGCTGGACCAAGTGGTTGTGAATATGGAGGATAACCCCACTAGATTCTGCATCTGAAATCTGACATGTCAAGTAAGCCAAATTGGAATTGGACTACAGAGTTATGCGTTCATTGAATGCGTTCTTGAAATCAGATAGAGAGCCTATTTTCTTCTTCCACACACATCATGTCTGGTGGAAGCAACAGAAGGCTGTGCTGCAGCGTCTCCCCTTGTTTACATTGCTGCAGTCCACTGACACACACAGTCCTCTGCTGAGGAGAAGCTTGTTTGGATTTCTGCAGGTGCAGAAGTGATAATTCAGAGTGTATAGAAAGGCGCTGTTAAATAAAATGTATTATTATTATTATTATTATTATAAGTGGTACGAATACTAAGGAAGTACATTTACTGGGTAAGTTTGAAATTATGGAATAATTCAATGATTTGTGACAAAGTCCAAAGTTTAAATTTTATTCTAAAGTTCTTTAAGCTACATGAACTTGTTTTATCTAGTATTGTTTGTGAAAGGCTAAGATAACATCTGATCTGTCCTTCTCCCAGCTCCTTTAATTCAGCATGTTGTTAATTTTGACTCCCAGTTTTCCTCCCCATGAGCTCATGACGGGTCGACCCATTCCTGGACCACAGAACGGGCCAGACCACTGACCTCTGGCCAGACTAGGACTGACAGGTGACACATTAAAATGACCTACAAGACCTTTTTTCCCCTTAGTCAGAGAAGGCTTTACAGAGGGACCAAGGTGCCTGGAGACCCTAATGCAGGACCATCACAGCCATCCTTCCATCCTTCAGCAGGAGGAGGTGTGGCTGAGAGTCAATAAAAAAAAGTGATCAGAGCTCATCGGAGCTCATCTGGAAGGAACCAGGAAACAATCAGAATAAAGGGGCAGAATAATCCCCTCTGATTGGTTCATTAACACATCAGTAGTCCACC